TTACAACTCAAACTTCATATATTTATTTATTTATATAAAGTTCGATACACATATCGACTGTTTAATACTGTTTAAACAAATGGTTAGTCATAATAATTGCGCAGGCGCATTGGAAGTATAATGCCTTTAATTTAGAATGTAGGCAATATAACAAACATGCGGTATGTGTAGCCGCACRGTAGCCAAAAAATTAAGCTACCATTGAACGTATCATATAAAGCAGAGGTGCGCAACCCAGGGTTGGGCACTTTTAAATTACAGTAATTCAATTACTTAAGTAATTTGTAATTAGTAATTAATTATTAAATGTTGATGTAATTTGTAATTGGTATAAATAATTACAATTTTTCAATGATAAAAATTTAGGATTTAGGATTTTCTACAATGTACAATAATATATTATATATATATATATAAGTTATACAGCATAAGTTTTATCGAACATTCAGTACCAGTTTTAAAAGATAATTTTATGATGAACATTGCTACAAAATACAGATAATATAGACAGATATAATATTATACATTTATACTATCTTAATTGCCCTTGTTCTATGTATAAATTGACAATCGCACTATACGATACTAAACAATTATTCATTAATTATAATACTAATATTTGTTCGTCAGCACCGGTAGAGAGATTATTGTTTTAATTTGCTGGCTTTATAATGGCACCTACTCGTTCCCGGTTGCCTGACGAACAATTCAAAAAACTTGTATTTTTAAAAGGTAACCAAAATTACGGGGTTATCTAATTTATATTATATTTTATTATATTTTTCCAATGTTTTYTTTATTTAAGTTATACACTTTTTTTCATATAATAATATAATTAACTAATACAATTTTTAATGTAATTGGTAATTGTAAGTAGGTAATTCAATTATGTAATTCGTAATTAAATGTTCTACAATCATGTAATTAGTAATTTGTAATTAATTACTTTTTTTTTGTAATTTGCCCATCCCTGGCGCAACCTGGGGGTCGTGAAATTTTATTAAGGGGTCACCACTCACCAATAATTKTACACCAAATGAAAAAGTAAATTTATATTATACACTTGCATACCGGTGAGAAGGGGGTCCTATTATCAAAATAAATTATTTTAGGGGGTCGTGCATCAAAAAAGGTTGCGCACCACTGATATCTAGTACCTATAGACGATAACGATCACAGCAGCTGTTGTGTGACTATTTATGTACAAATAAACGTAAATTTGTTTAATCATATTCGATGTCTGAATTCTGAAAAATCATTCAGAGTCCAGAAACTTGGCACTATAAGATTTCGAATGAAAAACTTATACAATTATTACTTATGACTTAAAACGAAAAATACTGATAATCGTAAGCATTAAAATAATTATCGTGACGACCGCAAGAATTCAAGTTGTTTTATCTACTATATAAGATACCTACACTTGGGAAATTGTAAAAAATGTTTTTAATGTTTAATATTTCTTTAAAATGTATTGCAACATTCATTATTCATTATATATATATATAAATATTATACCCACACCGGCCACACTTAACACACACTATATGATTGACCAATACATAATTATACACACTCAACACTTTTCTACCCATGCACATAATTACTTATTATTAAAATGGCACACAGCAGTTAGTTCGACAGTCACCATCAACAGGAGCGAACTCACCAAATACACTTATTAACAGCCATCTACATTAGTAAAGTATTATTTTTA